GAGGACAAGCTCAAGCTGTCTGGTGGTGTTCCAGATCAACGAGAGACCCTATCACAAACAAAAGGTGAGTGGCCTCTGAGGACCATCACTACTCAAAACAAGAAGTTGTCCTCTGACCTCTACAGGTATACACACCACACACACACACACACACACACACACACACACACACACACTCACACACACACACACACACACACACACACACACACACACACACACACACGAGGATGGGGTTGTGTGAGCACACACATCATATCTTCTAGCTAAAATGTACATTTTCCTACTCTGAGTCAGTGGGGAGTGGACAATCATCTAGAAACGAGGTTGCTCTAACAGGAGCTTTGGCCCTAGGGAAAGTCAAGTGAACAAAGCAAGACCTGTTTCTTCAAAGTTGTCCTTGGCTTCTCTGGGCCTTCATTGATTCCCCTCTTTCACAGGGCAGAGCACCTGCCACATGCCACCTCACAGCCCACTTTCAGGGAGGGGAGACCAGAGAATCCCTATTGCCGGCACTGACACAGAGCAGTCACATGGGTGGGGTTAGAGGTCATTTTAGAAGAGGGTGTTAGGTCCCCTGGAACTAGAGTTAAAGGTGGTCATGAGCCACCACAAGGGTGCTGTGGAGCAAATCTAGTCAGTGCTCTCAACCACTAAGCCATCTGTCCAGCATCCTAATTTCACTCTTGAATTTAGCCCTATTTCAAAACAAAACAAACAAATGCTGTGAGAGCAGGACCCGAGCACACACTTGCACATCTGTGTTCATGGCAGCAATATTCACACAACCTGCCCCGCCCCCAGCAGCTTCAAGTTACACATAAAATGGATGAAAACGGGAACTTGGCTTTTAAGGAGTCAAAATTTGAAAAGGTGAAGTCTATTTTTAATTTCAGGGCACAAGGTCTTGACTCCATGGAGATGCCCTAGAAATGTCTGACGAGCGAACATGTGCAGGCAATTACCCAAGCCCTGTTCAAATGTCACCTCCTTCAGGACATTGTACTACCTCAGCCTGCCTCCCTAGTGTAGGACTGCTTGACTCAGCTCAGCGTGCATTGTGGGAACAGCACACTCTCTGTAGAGCCCTGAGCATGGGGTAGAACCCTGGCCTTTCTCTGCCATAGGTCATGTGCCTTTGGACAAGCTACTTGGCCTGAGCTCCCTCATTTGGAAGACAGAATATCAATGAGCTGTGAACACAGAATCACCATGACGCCCTTATCATGGCTGTGACACTCATGAGCTGGGAGCACAGATCTACCATGATGTCCTTATCATGGCTGTGACACTCATGAGCTGTGAACACAGATCTACCATGTTGCAGTTATCATGGCTGTGATACTCATGAGCTGTGACCAATGAGCACTGGACCTCTGTGATGCTATGATCATGGCTGTGACAGCCTTGTCTCCCTCTACTAGCAAATCCTCTGGAAAAGGAATCACATTCCCCACCTCACCCAGGACAAACAGCTCCTGGTCCATGGCAAAGGGCTGGTGAATGAATGGATGGATGAATGAATGAATGAATGGATGGATGGATGAATGAATGAGCAAAGGAGTGAATGAGTAGACAATGAATCACTTATTGTCCAGAGGACCCTCCAGGAGAGGACACTACAGTTTGGGTACATTACCCCTGGTACCAACCATGGGTGCTCAAAGCAAATACCTTTTTAGACACCAGTGTCCATCAAGGAGAAGAAACCTCCAAGTCTGCCTCTTAGCCACCTGCCAGGAAGGACATCTCTTGGTGTCTATCTTTGTTTCAGGGATTTTTTTTCCTAAAGCATTTACACGTTTCAGAACATCTGAAATGTGGTCTTCCCAGCAGGTTTGCCCATCCTCTCCACTTCTGGGAAAATAACAACATAACAATCTATTCATACTGTAACTGCAACCACGGTTGATAGACCTGACAGACAATGCATTCTCAACCAGGCAATGAGTGGGTGATTTGGCCCCACATGGGCAATTAACAATATTTGGAGACAGTTTTGGCTCTCATGACTTTAAGGGTGGCAGATGAGCCATAGTGCTGTAAGTGTGGAGTGGAGAAGGTCAGAGAGGCTCCAAACATCCTGCAGTGTCCAGCACGACCTCACAGAGCAAAGAATTATCTGACTGAAAATGCCAAGAGTTGGTGGCAGGAGTACAATCTCAAGGCCAGCCTGAGATACACAGGGGAACCAAGGCAAGCAGATAAGCAAACCAAGGACATCGCCAGAGCAGAGACAAACCAAGCCTTGCTTCTCATGGCCATAAACATGGTCTCACCTGGGTGTTTAGGAGAGACAAAGCTGCAATGTGAACATGGACAGCCCTGAGCTTGTTAGAATGCAAATTCTGCAGTTGTGAGTGAAGCTTGACCTTTCTAAGAAGCTCTCAGGTGAGGCCAGACAGTACGGCCAGTTTATGGACATACTTTGTATTGCTTGGAGTTTCTTTTCCTGCCTGGTCCTGCCGCCTTCAACCCCAAATAAGCACACAAAGACATATTAATTTTAAAATTGTTGGCCAATGGCTAGGGCTTCTTACTAGTTATCTCTTTCTTAATTATTAACCCATAACATCTAATCTATGTATTTCTTCATGGCCTTATCTTACCAGAGAACGCCTGGTACAGCCTGTCTTCCTGGTCTCTACATGGCGTCTCTCTGCCCCTCTCCCCAGCATTCTCCTCATCTCCTAATCCCACCTATCTTCCTGCCTCTACTGGACAAACAGTGTTTTATTCATCAACCAATAAGAGAAGCATATATAGAAGGACGTCCCCCATCAACTTTGAGCAGCAAAGGTTAGAAAGGATAAGTTTCTTTAGTATGAAGGAATCCAAGCGCACAAATGCAATAAGTGGCCTGGTTACAGTCTCACTGGTCTCTTGAACTGAGGAAAATAGGCCATGAAATCCTGCAAACTTCGTAACTCACAGGACACAGTACCAGACCAGAATTCTGATGCTCCCTGTCAGTGCAGTCATGGATAAGAGGGGTTGCTACTGAGAGGGTACACGTACACTGAAGGAGAGGGCGTCGTCAACCCTGAGGGGAGAAGATGAAGCCTCCTCTTGAAGGGAGAGCAGGTGATGGGCCCTGTCTGGGAACTCTCGCTTCTGTGAAGCGTGTGTGAACCTGGGTCTAGAAACAAGCCAGATGGGGCCTTGGGACGGTGACACAGCTTCCTCAGGAAACAAGAGTGAGCCTTCTCTGGGGGGACCCCAGAGCAGGGGGCAATGTTCAGACCCAGTGTGGAGATCTTACTTCTCATTGCTGGGGCCCGCAGGTGTCCACAGGAGTCTACCTATTGACAGGGAGCCAGTGAGAGAGCGAAGGACAGCCTTGGCCTTTACACCCCTTCGTAACCACCACTGGCCTCAGAAGTTGCTTCTCTTAGAAGCAGGGAGGAAAATGACTTCAATCCCATGTTGAGGGCAAAATGATCAGAAATCCAGTTTCTCACTATTTTTGTCGTTTGTGTTCATGAGACTGTAACCCAAGAAGCCTGGAGTCCACGAGTGGCCCAGGCTGACCTTGAACTTGTCACAATTCTTCCACCTTAGTCTTGCATGCCAAGGTTACAGGTGTGAGCCTTCACATGAAGTTTTGTTTGCCATTCTAGAATGGAGCAGAAGCACAGACTAAAAATGGTTCAGTATCCACATCACCATTTGGGGGGGAGAAAAGGAATTTGCACAACAGAAGTAAACTGGTTGATTAAAGCTTATGTCTTTCTTATTTGAATACGGTTTGAACAGTGGGCCGCTACCCAGCAGACTGAGGTGCAGTTAAAGCAATAGGTTAGTTTCTACATCGAGTCAGGTCACAGTTACTATGTATGGAGAAGCCTTTAGGTGACAAGTGTGTAGAGGCAGCTTTAGATAAACCCAGCTGTCCCAATCCATTTGGGATGGATACCACTGTAACATGTGTATAGACTTATTTAGTTAACGATGCGTTAGGAAAAGAGAGAACAGTGGGTTTTATAAGGTGCAGAAAGAGAAACAAAATTAGTCAACCCCGGACTATCTTTTCCAAATGAGTTAAAGCAAAGGAATTTACCGATGACACTGACTCACTCATGTAGCCTGAAACTTCCCATCTTCAGGGGGGAAAATGGGTCTGTTTGGCGACCTCTTTGCTTCCTTGTGTTTCAGTTGAATCAGGTGGCATTCAGCACAAGTGGCTCCCTTTTGATTTGTCCTGGATTTTTGGGTCTATGTGCAAGGGCTCGGTCCAAAACAATGGCTTCTCATACATAGGAGATGGTGAGAGACTCAGGGGTGAATGGGTGGCATTCTCCATCCAGCCCAGCAGAGGTTACACTCAGGACCAGCGCACACACACACTCACTGATTAAGTCTTTTTTAAGGTTGTATATCTTGGTGTTCCGTTACTGAAGCAAACTCGTAAAATAATAAATGTACTGGCTCTTAGCCTTGCAGCCTCCTGCTCACCCTCAGCTGCTGCTCCTAGGACAGCATATAGTGATGGGAACACAAGGCAGGACAAAAGCAATCACTTTACAGACAGAGAGAGAGAGAGAGAGAGAGAGAGAGAGAGAGAGAGAGAGAGAGAGAGAGCTTGTACCTTATAAAACTCATGAAGACAGGACCAAATAACTCTAAAACCCCCTGCTGGGCCCCACTTAAAGGATCCCCTCAACTCTCCATAGCTCCGCCCTACTGTGCAAATATCAAGGCAGACACTGGTGCTTGGTTCCTTTCTTCGGTTAGGGGTTGATCCTGGGAAGGGGTCCCTGGCAATGGCATCCCACTGTTGGTACTGCTGACAAAAGCCGTACTTCCAGATGACACTCTCTGAACCCCAACACCAGCCTTTTCCAGCCTGAAATACCACAAAAATACAGTGGAGACAGAGATGAACATAGGTGTCTTTCTAGTGTCAGACCTTACTGAATAGCATCACATAAGTTCATCACATACAGTGGCTTCGCTGGCAGCAATCTGCCAGCCAGTTCTGCTTTTCTTGACAGACTAGCTGTGGCAAACACAGGCTGTTTATTTTATTTCAATCCTACATTACCAATATTAACTTTTTAGTAAGACATTACGCAGTAAATATATCTTCATAGATGTGCAGGTTACCAAATGGCAGTAATGGGTTAAAGAGGCTGCAGGCAGAATTCTTGAAAGGCTGAGAATCTCCATTAAGAGGAAGATACAGAACCCAGGCTGCAGGAGTCAGGCTTCGGGAGTCAGGCTGCGGGAGTCATGATGTCAGAGTCAGGCTGGCATGCAGAAGGTAATTGCAATGGAAGCTGTAGACAGAAGGGCAAGACCAGGTCCAAGTGAACAAATGGGCGGACATATTGATGGCGGATCACAAAAGAAAAGTGGATGGATGGTCAATAATCTGACTAGGTCATGTCAACAATGAGGACCAAGCCAAGCTGAAGCCTCTGGGACACCAAGAGTTTTTCTCTATCAGTGTCTTGATGCCCTTATCAGATGGTCAGATGGCAGGCTGATGAAACTGTTACTGACAGAGTGTTAGGTCTTTTCCTTTTAATAGGGTCCAGTCCAGCACATCCAATGAGCTGTCAAGTCAGTTTTCGTGATATGATTTTAGTGCAACCATGTGGGTCTTCTTACGTTCCCAATTTACTCTGACAAATTTAGAAGGTGGCATCCTTCCTACTTTCAGGAACAAAGTATTTATCAGTCTGTGCCTTGTGGGTGATTCCAGGCAGATGGTGTCGTTTACATGTCTGTCAAGGTACACAGGCACCCACCGACTTCAAAATAGAGTCAAACACTGCTTGTAAAATGGAGTCTTTCAGGAAAGGTAGGAAAAACCCACCGTTTTACACAATGCAAAGAAACTTTGGGCAGGGCATAGCACAATACCAGAACACAATGCTATTAGCAAGGATATTTGTTGTGTCTGTTCACAGTGTGGCTAAAAAGGGCACCAAGGAAAAAAAAACCATGAGATTATATCATTTCGATAACTTGCCAGCTTAAATACACACAATCATTTTTATTTGGGCCCACCCAGGAAGTAGCTGAATCCTTGGAGCTATAATAATAGGCAAGTGTGTTTATACTGACGAGGATACATATGTTACGAAATATAGATTGTGAGTTTCATCCACAGCTCCCAACTCATGGCTCCCTAGAGACTAGAGCAATAAGTGGACCTTTTGTCCCTAGTTCCTGAAACAGCTAGAGAGCCAAAGAGGTGCGAGCCGGTCTTTATTTACAAAGAGCTCATTCCAGCTACACCTGAGTTCACTTTAATGAGGCTGTTGGTGTAAAGCTCCTAGATAACCACAGATTGGGTTCTATTTGGTTGCCAGGGCAACCAACCATGTGCTCAGAGGGTTGAGATCCTTTGTCCCCCCCTCCCCAAGCTGCCTTGATGGATGGAAGCTCAAGATGGACGCCAGCACCCAACAGTCTGATCAGTCATAGCTGTGTGTGCTAAGCTTCTGCAGATGCCACAAAGCTGGGCTTGGGAAGCTGCAGTGTCTGTGACATGGTGTCCCCAGGGAGAACATGGAGGTCATGCATCTCTTTCCACGCATGCCACCCTATGCATTTCTTCCTGCCCTTCAAAATAGGCTTAGAGATGCACGCAGATATCTTCTGACTTCTGTGAGCCAATCTAGCAAATGCATCCAACACGGTGGAGAAGCACTAGCAACTCCAGCTTACAGGCAATGGTCAGAAACGGGTGGTGCGCTGGCGCTTGTGACTGGCACCGGAATGGGAGCTTTCTTCTGGGACCAAAGCTTTGACTGATGGGATCTGACACTTTCCAGCTAAGCAGTGTTGGGATTAAGTAGACAGACATCGTGCTGTGATTCCAGGGGCGTCCACTTCAGGACTGTAGAGAGTGTTGAGAAAAACCCCCATTCACTTAGTCACAGACGTATTTTGTTTTTGCGAGAGTAGTGAGTGAAAAAACAGATTGTCTCCTGCTCAGGGTGTAACAGAATGAGGGGTCTGAGGAAGACTGGAAACTCCACCTTCTGCTGAACAGCGCCTCAGCCCACTTGCTCTTGCTCGCACTGGCGTGAAGGGTGCAGTCCCATTTAGATCAGAGCACTGTACACCATGATGAGCTGAGAACTGACAAAGCCCAGAAGCAGGAAGGTCTCCTTACGCTTCTCTTGTCTTCTCACCTGAAGCAGATCATGAGGGAATCTCCCCTGGCGGCCCTGCCCTGTCCCCAGAGGCCAAGAATTGCACACACAGCCCTTGCTGAGGGTCCTCATAGAATCATGCCCTTTCTCTTCCAGGCACTTCTGCATGACTGTTCCTAAAACACATTGTTCTGTGCGCTTCTCAGGCCTCGTAAAACTTCTTTAAAATTCATCATCCTTTTTTATTGCTAATCAATCCATCTATTATAAGATTTATTATAAGAATTTCAACCATGAATCTTGAAATAGGTGAAGGATTTTTTCCCCATTCAGGCATTCATTCTGGAAAAACTCCCTTTCCTAATGTTGCAGACCAGTCACCAACATAAGGGGGTGGGAATTTCTACACTTCTCCTTTTAGTGAGTTTCAAGTCAGGAGCTTGTCCCTGACCTCCTGGAGCTGGAGCTTCTCTGAAAGACTGGGCAGATCTGGCTGGCTGGAGCTCTTGACATCATGCCCAGGCGTTTGAGAATAGATACCCCTTGGACAGCGGACAGCACCACCGCTCTGGCCTCCATAAGGGACGGTCCAGACCCTCTGTAGTCTCCCCCAGAATGTGGATAGACTAATTTGCCAGACTACTTCCTTTCTTAGGAAGTAGAGTACATGGATGCTGTGGGGTTGGCTCCTGCAGATACCAAAATCCAAGGCTGCTGATTTCCCCTGTATTCAACGGCATGGCATTTCATGCAACACGCTTCCAATAGAATAAAGCTAGTGCTGTGCACATACTTGTTCTACCACACTGTTTAGAGATAACAGCAGGGAAACGACATGTGGCACAGATGAAGACTTTTTCATGTCCCCGCCCTTGACCGAGCACATCTGTGGAGGCAGATGTGAAGTCCTCACCGAACACTCACTGCTCACTGACGTCTAACATACAACGCACACCTGTAAACAAAGAATCCTGTGATGCTTTAACCTACTTTACACATTTGCAGTCACTGGCTGACTCCCACAGACATCAGATTTTCAGCCCCTGGTGCAACCTAATACAAGAAAATGTTCCCCAAATTCAAAACACCCCATTGACTGGCCAAGCAAAGGCAAACAGGGATGTCACCTGGTACACGAATCCAACAACAAACAAACCCTAATCCAATGGTTTTGAGAGAATCTGTGTGGCCTAAACATAGAGGTCTTGGGGGCATTAAAGGGGGACTGTGGGGGGTTTTGAGTGTGATAGTAAGATTCATGTCACATGTTACAAACATACATATGTGAAATACACATGTTTGAAATATTTACAGATGAAACAGATTTAATTGATGGAATTTGTTGCAAGGCATTCAGAAGAAAGTATGATTTTGAAAACTTTCTATAATACATAGATTAAAAAGCAGTACCAATCTTGTTTCTAATTCAAATAAAAAAAAGCACTATATACCCCACATTCTAAGAACTCATGAGCTCTTTTCCATGCAAAGTAACAGGTGGTTCCTGGCACTGTTTTCTTCTTCAAGTGCTTGTTGTTCCTCAATATTGTTGTAGATCAACCTGCGCACAGAAACACCTCTTGTCAGTGTCATATTCTATTTAATTATTTGTGTTAGCTGGTAGTATTGTTATTTTAAAGTTTTGTTTTAAGATTATGTATTTGTGAGAAGCACGTTTCTATTTTAGTATGCGGTACATTAAATTTTAACCTGAGACCAGTTTGAAAGGGATCTTTAAGATGAGCTATTGGTTGTTATAGAGGTGTTGGGTCTCCACCTGGGAAGGCCAGCATAGGCAGTCGAGACCTGACTGTCCTCGGCATGTTCCTGGGAACCACAGGTCCCAAAGGCTTCATCCTGGGACACTTTTGCTCTTCCCAGGGTCCCACAGCAAAGGCTCATTTGGTAATGTGGCTCACTCGGGACACAGAGGGGAACTAGGATGTTTCAATAGTCATTTCTTTTCCTTCCTTCCCCCTCCCTCCTTCCCTCCCTCCCTCCCTGCCTCCCTCCCTCTCCTGCTAGGAGTAGTAGGCATTCACCCCTACACTTGGCAACTATAGTCATATTTCAATCAACTTAATTCTAGAAAAGTTTTCTTGAGAATTCTTTGCAGCTAAGAAGGGTCCCTTCCTGTGTCTACAATTCTTCTTTGTTCCCACATCTGACTCGGTTCCCTTCTTAAGAGACACGTGCGCCCAATGCTCTTTGTGCTGACCAGCTCAAGACTCAAGTAAAAAAATACTTAAATCAGTTGTCTGTGCTCTTTTCAACCCAGAGAGAGTGAGCATTAACGCTCGCACTGGCCAAGCCACAGAGCGTTTCATAGTACTGGGGCCATATGATCAACCAGAGCCTGTTTACTTTCCCTCAGGCCCCAGGAGGACTGTAAAGGGCTCTTGGCCTTGGCCCACGGCTTCCAGGAAAATTTACCATTTGTTCCACAGGCAGAGTCTACGTGAATGCAGAGGGCGGAAGGGCATAGTACATTTCTGGATAGAAGTCCCGGGCCGATGATTGCATGTTGTGTGAGCCTGGGCTAAGTCCCTCCACACGCCTTCCTCTCCTTCCTGTGAAGACAGAAGTGAGGGACTGCATTCGCTACTTCTGCATTGCAGCAACCAAAATACCCGACAGAAACAAGGGAAGAAACCTCTGTCTTAGTGCAGGTTTCAGAGGATTCTGCCCGTCGTCATGGGTAGGGCATAGTGGGACCATTTGTCTGTGGCGATGGGAATGTAAAGAGGCTACAGGAACCTGGGAAAGCAGCAGGGAGAGTAACCAGTGACAGCCATCAGAAGTCCACCAATAGCGACTACTGCTGCCAACTAGGCCTTACCTGTCAAAAGCCTCACAGCCCCAACCCTACCCCCACCCCAAATATCACGTCAGTCAGGGAACAAGTGCCTGAAACATGGACCTGTGTGGGAAATCTCAGATTCAAACTGCAACAGACAGTAGACAAAGCGGGATCTTACCTAAGGCAAGCAGAACCCAGACTCTGCAGCAAGCGACCCTGGAACACCACGCTGCTCGCTATCTACAATAATCAGCCCGGGAAACCAGACATGCTTCCGATGAGTCAGACTTACAGGAAGCCACACTATCTCCAGCAAGTGATTGTCCAAAGGTTCAACACTTGATTAATAACTGACATGGTCTCTGGTTTTTCTACCTGTTTCCAATTATTGCTACTCAGGAAATGCCAAATATGGCCTTACAAACAACCACATGGGATGCCCTGTATTTATCTAATCCACCCATGTACTCATGGCATCAGGCGCTAGCCAGAGCACACCTGAAGGCTGCCCTTCCCCACTGCAAGGCTCGTCTGTTTTTCTGCATGTTTTTGAGTCTCTGCCATCATGGAAGTGGTGGTGGCTGGCTCCCTTGCAAACTCTGACTAAACAGTCTTGTTTTGTTCTCATTTAATTGGTTTTCATTTACTTTTACTTGGACCTAATATTTTTGACTGCTACCAAAATTTACATTTGCTCAGTAAATATTTACTGAGAAGCTAATTAATACTACTGTGTTAGATGCCAGAGATCTGGCTTGAGTTTCCAGACTAGTGGGGGAGAGTGTCATTAATCAAAAAACTACACCAACAGATACAATATCTCAAAACTATCGGGAGAAGCGGTGTCCCATGCTATGAGAACCTAAAGTACTTGGCCAAGACAAGGCCAGGGCCAATTTCTTTGAAGAATTAACAATTGCCCTGACATTTGGAGAAAGACAAGACTGTACCAGGTAGAAGAGAAGAAAGACTATGAAGGCCTGAGCCAAGTCACGGGTAGCAAAGAAGCATGAACTCAGCCAAAGCCCTGAGAAAGGGGAGCCTGGTTGAAGTCCACAGAGCTCAGGGACAATGCCAGAGGATGTCTGATTGAGAGGTGTGCCAGTCACACTGGGTCTCATGGACACTGCTAAGGAATTTTGTCTCCATCCAAAAACAACAACAATACAGAAGTCAACAGTAATTGAAAGCTAACGGGGCCAGCATGCTTCTAATGGCTTCATAGACAAGTGTTACAGTTACAGGAAATCTGTTATTTGTTACAAGTTTGTTAAATCTAGAGATGGATAAACCTTGTGGATATAGAAGAAAACACATATGTGTAAATTTTAGTAGGTATAAAACTGTAAATGGAGTCCTTAATTGGTCTAGATAATAAAAGGCCGGAGTCAGATATAGAGGGAAGTGCTGAGAGATCAGACAGAAGGATCAAACCACAGCACACCTTACCTCCCAAGCATCTCCATAGAGAAGAGAGCGATTTCCTGTTTGTCCCTGCTTATATCTTGTTTCTGCCCAGCTATGTCACTTCCTGCTTGTCTGTACAGACCTCCAGACCTCTATGGTTAGCTAGTGGCAAGCTCCATTCTTTGACCCCCAGACAGGCTTTATTTGTGCAAGATGTCACTACATAAAAGAGGACGTGGGGCCAGAGAGATGGAAAATTCTTGCTGAGTAAGTGTGAGGATCCCAGTTCAGCTCTCCAACTACCAGGTGTTCTGGTTTGCTGTCTGTTATGATGACAAACACCACAGTAAAAAAAAAAAAAAGCAACTTGGTGAAGAATGGGCTGACTTCATCTTACAGTTTACCGTCTGTCATGAGGGGAAATCAGGGCAGGAACTTGGATGCTAGCACTGAAGCAGAGGCCATAGAGGAAGGTTGCTGACTGGCTTGCTGAGCCGGCGTTCTTATGTACCTCAGGCCTACCTGCCCAGTGGTGGCATCTCCCTCAGTGGCCTGGGTGCCTCCCACATCAACCATTGATCAAGAAGATTCCCCATAGACAAAACAACAGGCCAACCTCATGGAGGCATTTTCTCAATTGAGGTTCCCTCTTCCAAAGCGACCCTGTGTGTGTCAAGCTGAAAAAAAAAAAAAAAAAAAAAAAAAAAAAAAAAAAAAAAAACCCTAACCTGCATTCCAAGTAAATGCTGTGTTGTTGTGGTGGGCTGCCCATAACCCATTAGGCCAGAGGTGGAGATGGTATCCCTGGAATAAGGTGACTAGCTAGACTGGCCGAATCAGTGAGTTCTGAGTTCAAGTGAGAAACCCTCCCTCAATAAACAACCTGGAGAATGATTGACACCAGATATCAACCTGTGGCCGAACACACACACACACACACACACACACACACACACACACACACAGGCAAGAGTGCCTTCATGTGCACCCCCAGAGGCAAGCACACCCACATATATGTGAACACACACAAGGCGTCTGTGGCAGAACAGTCTCCTCAGTGATGTCTACATTCAGATTTCTAGACTCCATGTACCTTACACAGACTTTGGAGATAGGATTAAGTTTAGAGTCTTAAAGGACACCCCAGGTTCTTTAAATAGGCCTTATGCAATAATCTAAGACCTTCAAGACAGAGGGATGTACCTAAACACGAGACAAAAGCCACCTAAGAAAGTGTTAATCCCCAAGATGGGAGGAGAAAGACCACCGACCGAAATCATCATGGCCAAATTAAGTAAAGCAAGAAATTAATTAAAGCAAGCTTTTTCTTATTCATATACATGGGCTGCTTCCCCCTAAGGTGAGCTTGAGAGGTCAGCATTGGATGTGAGGAAGACAAGGTTTTTACAGCTCAGGGGTAGAGAGTCTCCAAATGGAGAGAAACGGTAGGATTGCTGGAGCAGAACAAAATGAGGTAATCACAGCAGGTCCCCATAATAAGATAATCATAGGGGGTCATAGGACTTTGAGAAAGAAAGGCATAATTGCCAACCAGGAACAGGCAGTCCAGAACCATTTGTAGTTAAGGTTGCAGGTGGGACGTAGCCCAGTCCTTAAAAAACAGAGGTTTAATAAACAGGAATGAACTTAGTTTGTCTTTACTATAAGGTAGCTTTTAAGCTTGGATGGAGGCAGGCTGGTTCTTCAAAAGAACAGGTTAAATAAATTGGAAGATTAAAACAGAACTCTATTCTGAAAATGAAGGGACACTGAGAGATGTTTTTAAATCAAGGACTGGACAAGGGTTTTCCATTGTCAATATGCAGAAAATCTCTTAACAGTGGTAAAAAACAAAAATCTACCTAAAGGCAGAGGCCTAGAGTGGGTTTGTTCTAAAAAAGATAGAGAGTAAACACAGGAAAGATGGCCAGTATTATCAGGGGCTGTGGGTCTGTAAATTTAAACGATAATGATGAGCCATTTTGCCCCACCCCCAAGATGCCCCTACAATACACATCCCTTAAATAAACAAGTGAAGCAAGCTTTGGTGTGGTGGAGAAATCGGAGCCTTCACACACCGTTGGTAGGAATGGAAACTGTTTGATAGTCCCTCAAGAAGTGAAACATATTCATAATCATGTATCCAGAACTGCCCACACCTGGTCACACAGAATCCCCTGCATTACTCACCCCAGCCAAAGGCATCAGCCACCCAAATGAGCCAGCCAATGAGTAAGCAAAAGATGGCACAGTGAAGTGTCATTGAGCTACAAAAGGCATGGGGTAGGGATCCGTTGAGGGACATAAGACAGACATAGAAGATCGCCTATTACATAATTCCATTTATAGGGAATGCCCCAAATAAAGAAATCTATAGAGACAGAAAACAGAATAGTGATTGCCAGAGCACAGAGAAAGAAGATAACAGGGAATGACTTCTAGCAGGTAATTGGTTCCATGTTAGGGTGGAGGAATTGTTCTAGAATTACATAGTACTTATAGTTCTACAACTTATGAAAATACAAAAAACACTGGATTATACACTTAACGGGGATGAGTTTTATGGTATGTGAATTTCATTGCAATAAAACCAATCACAAAAGCATTGGGGAGATGGCTGAATTTGGATCCCCAGCATTTACAACAGTGCACACCTGTAACTCCAGTGCTGGAGGGCTAGAAATCTGGAACCCATGGAGTTCATTGACTAGCTGGCCCTGCTGAGCCAGCGAGCTCCAGGTTCTGTGAAATTCCCTGCCTCCCTCTGACCTCTAACATGTGCACATATGTACCTGGGTACCTCAATTCACACACACACACACACACACACACACACGCTATTAAAAAAAAAAAACAATGAAAAGCAGAGAACGTTTCTCAATGGCAATCAGAAAAAACGAACCTGTAGGAGGAACCAGAGACCTGACGTGTGATTGCATGGGTGGGTGAGGGGCTGAGTGAGAAGGGATGTTCAGTGACCTCAAAGAACTGAGAGGGGCTCAGATGACAGCCAGTGAGGAACAGGACTTAGTGCTGAACTCTATCAGGAGGCTGAATGAGCCCAGCAGCAGACTCATCCTGAGCCCCCAAAGAAAAGCCACTCTACTGACACCTTCATGTCAGATTTGTTTTTGTTTTTTTGGCTTTTCGAGGCAGGGGTTCTCTGTGTAGCTTTGGAGCTCATCCTGGAAGAAACTCTTGTAGACCAGTCTGGTCTTGAACTCTGAGATCCACCTGTCTCTGCCTCCCAAGTGTTGGGATAAAAGGCATGCGCCACCACCTCCCAACTACTTATGTCAATCTTAAGAATTCACAGGAGAAGGCCCTATTGAGCTATACAGCCCCTACTCTTTTAAGTGGCAGACTATGACGTAATAATGGATATTTCTTTGAAGTGGCAGACTATGACAGAATAACGGATGTTTGTTTTGTGCTACCACATTTCTGGCAATTTGTTATGGCAGCAGTAGAAAGTGAATGGATTCTTGGCTGGGAAGGTCATGTGTTTGTAACCTTATATATAAGGACCAACAGCAGCCTTTCCACAGATAAGCAGGGGAGAGGCAAGGGGATGAAGACAGCCAAGACTGAGCTGTGGAGACAGACAGGTGAAAAGCCACCAGGGGAAATGAAAGAAGTCACAGACAAGAAAGTGAGCTGCCCTGCGTCACTAAGCTGGCCAGTGTTCTTAGTCTGATATTAGAGTCTACTTTAGATACTTTAAATACATGACATTCATTGAAAGTCATGAACAATTTATAGAATTGTGGGAAAGGCAAGCCCATGAAAATCTTCCAAAGGAATAGCTGTTTTTGCTTCCTGAGGTGCAGATGGCTCTGAGGGTCCCACCAGCTGATACTTCAGACCAATCTCCTGCTGTAGCGCATGACAACAAAACATTGCCCTCAGTCTGCCACTCTACCCAGGGCAACAGTTTCAAGGGGTGGTCCTGGAGATGGTGTTGCAGGGGTGAAATTTCATGGGTGTGGGGACATACGGAAAATGTTGCTTTGAGCCACCTCCCTTCTGCCAGGAAGGTATGCCAAGAGGGCAATGGAATGGATGCTGACCGGGCCAACCCACAGTATCTTGCACAGACAACCGCTGGATGGCCAGGATGTCAGGGAGGGAGCAGATGGCAACACTCAGGGAAAGAACCAGACCCAGGAAAACTGAAAGTGTCTCTCTCTCCAACTCAGTAATCGCAGGGCAGCTAGCACAGAATCACAGAATGCACACCAGGGAAGGAACACAGCAAGTGTAAACTTGCTGAGAAATTTGGCTGTATGAAGACAGAAGGACGTGGGGTGGCCAGTATGAGATGGGGAATGAGTGGCTGAACAGTGAAGAGCTATTTCCCCCTTCTTTTCTTTTTACTTGGATTGTTTGGGTTTCCAGGTATTGAAACCTTGAGAAGAAGCAGTTGACTATGAAAGGTAAGAGCATAACTCACCGGGGGATGGGTGGAGGGGCAATCCAAGCTTCCAGTTTCCAAGAAGGCAGTGAGGTGGGGAGGAGCCCACTTTCCCTTTGAGGAAGAGTAGGTGGAGATGAGGTGGGAGGGAGCCAGAGCTCATCAGCTGCCTGGGATGCTTAGTCATCTGCCAAAAGGGAGGAGGAGGAGGAGGAGGAGGAGGAGGAGGAGGAGGAGGAGGAGGAGGAGGAGGAGGAGGAGGAGGAGGAGGAGGAGGAGGAGGAGGAGGAGGAGGAGGAGGAGGAGGAGGAGGAGGAGGAGGAGGAGGAGGAGGAGGAGGAGGAGGAGGAGGAGGAGGAGGAGGAGGAGGAGGAGGAGGAGGAGGAGGAGGAGGGGGGAGGGGGAGGGAGGAGGAGGTGTGGGTACTGAGACCAAAGGGAGGTGGTTTTAGCAGGACTCATCTGAGAGTTCAAGGGTGAAGCACCAGAGAGACAAAGAACACAAGGTGGTACTGGGCTCCGGGGAAGCTTGGTGATGCCAAGTATGTCAGGGCCAATAGGAACTTCTCATTCGCAGAGTAAAGAACGCATATTTGTATGTATATACACATATATGATGCATATATGTCATACACACATATGTCTATACACACATAAGTATGTAGATATGTAAATTAATCTGTCTCTATATTCAGACATAAAATACACATATCTATAAATATATCTACATATATAGATATATACATATGAATAGTCATATACATATATGGGTATTGGGATATTGTCAGAGAACAAAGTGGAAAATGAGCTAGAGAGTTTATCCTGCAAAGCCTTCCTGGTTTAGAATACAGGAAAGAAAGGGAACAGTAGACAGATGGGAGAAGGGAGGTAGGTGACCTCACAGAGCCCTGACAGGGGGCAACTAGCAAAAAGCCGGAGACAAAGTCGTGCTCAGAGTACCTCCACTGACTTAGAGACGTGCAGTAGCTTTGACTGGCTGTTATATCCTGGGCCCTGCAATGCATTCAAAGATAACCCCAGAGAGAGCTCTAAATGCTAAAGTCATGTTAAGAGATTTACCACAAAGCCACAAAACTTAAGCTTTGGGCTCCTTCATCTGCAGGCCCTGGGGAGAAGCCCAGCAACTTCTGTATTTGTTAAAGTTTGCAAGTTTAGATATGGCCACAGTTTCTTCCCAAGGCTTTGGACGGGGAATATAAATGAAAGAATCCACAGCTGAAGCTTTCTTAGCAGTGTACTGCCTCCATTCCTTTATTTCATCTGACTATAATGAAAGAAGCATCCCCTAGGAAGCTGGACCTCCCTCCTGCTGGCTCCAAGAACGTCCATCTGTCCGTCCATTAGCAAAGACTTTCATCTCTGAACTGAGAATGGAGGGCTGGAGATGAGCTGTGAGAACTGCCCTGTGTTTGATGACAGGGGAACCACACTTAGCCACCTGCCCCTGTAAGCTGCCCGTGAGCCAACCAGAGTGGCTGACTCAGGAGCCAGCAGCTTGTCACTTCAGACCTGTTACTTCCGTCTGTCCGACACACCTTTCAGTCACCCAGGTCCCATCACATCCTCCGTAACCCTTTCTTAACTTGCTTGTTTTGAGACATGGCCAAGACCCTCTGAGCACTGCCTCTCTAATGGGCTTAGTTTGGCTTGCTCCACAGGCTTTCCTGGTGTCTCTTTGGAAAAATAACCATAAACACAGATGAGACATTGACAATACTGGTATAGAACCAATATGGCATGTTACATGTTTCTCACGAGGATGCTAGTCCATCCTCTTTACCAGTGATGTGTCTGACCCAGATCAGATCCTTTTCTCAACAGAGAAAACTTAAGACACATTTGAAAAGCTTGGTGTCCATCTGAGACTGAACCTACTTAGGATCTAGACAAAGGCTTTTTACCATTTAGGTTCTAGAAAACAGTTACTGCCTCGTGTGAGAGAGCAGACAATGGTTCTAATTAATAATTTTGCCTCCTAGGATTTTCTAGTTGACTACACGCTGTTCACTTTAGTTAAAACATTATGCACTTTGCATGTATTCAGTTGGTTACATTTCATACTGGGTCACTAATGGTTGACTTTTGGCTGGCTTTCTAATCCACAGTAAATGTGTTAGAGATACCCAGAGTATCTTCCTGGGGAGAAGATACTTCCATACTGGGGCTGTTCGAGCACTCAGCAGAAAGACCCACTCAATAGGACTGGCCCTGTTCACGGAGGCTCACTTGGCCTAGGAACGGACTCATCCTTGACCAAGTTGATCATCATGGAATCATTGTAATTAGTCTGGCCAACAGATTGGGCAAATGTTTGGAAAGATTGTATTGTTGTTGTTATTCATGCTATTTTTAAATGCCTTCTTAGGAACCTAAAATAACTTTATAACATCATAGGTGTTAAAAAAAAAACAAGCAGACATAACTTCTCACGAATCCTACTTTTGTTTCAAATACAAATTCTGCACTAATATATGCAAATTATGCACAAGCCCTACTTCCTACCCAGTATCTATCTATATCTTCCCTAAAATCGAGTACCACTCAGAGGTTCACAAATCTGTTTCTCCCCTGGTCTCTGCTATGGTTTAGATACAGACTCAGTTATACACGAAGTTCCACCCTTGAAAAGGGTCAACACTGTCTTTCTTCCTTTCAGGACTGGGGATCAAACCCAGGGCTTTGCACTTTCTAGGGAAGTGCTTAACCCTGAACTCTATTCCTATTCCTCAGAGTTTTAAGACAGGGCCTCATTATGAAGCAAGGCAACCTGGATCTGACCAAAAAAAGAGTCACAGAAGTGGTACATGAGATTCCATCTTTGAGTAGGACATTTCCAAGATATCAGAGCAAATCAGCCAAAGGTAGCTAGAGCAGTGGAGGCAGGGATCAGAGCAATGGAGGAGGCAGATAGAGCAATGGAGGAGGCAGATAGAGCAATGGAGGAGGCTGATAGAGCAACAGGAGGCAGGGTAGAGCGATGTCCTAACCTTGCAGCAGCACTAAAGTCTTGGGCCTGGCTGAGGAGTCCTGTAAGGCTCCTCCTCCTCCAGGCAGTTGCTGGAAGCTGGCCTCTTGGGATCTCTTTGTGCTTGCGAGGCAGCTCTGGCCTGCCCTGTGGAGAACAGCACACCTCCCAGGGACAGGCCCTATTGGTATCCAGTGTTTTATTTGTGTCTTCCACCTGTTTTTTGTTGCCTTCCAAACCCCAGAGAACCAAGGGCAGCCTCTCTGCTGCTCTGAGAAATTATTTTGTCTAGAATATTTAATCACACTCAGGAACTGATGCCAAATGGAATATAACATGGCAGGTGTCCATCCAGGCACGAAGAAGTTAGGCAGAACACCATATCTCCTAATTTAAATGATCCAAAACCTCTCTCTAATCCCCAATAAGATTAACTTCCTGGCTCCTAGGTCATAGACCTCTGGAGTACTGGTCAGCCCTGGGAATCCTCAAGTTCATTGTGCTCATTCTCCACACTGAGGGAAGTTAAACGCTGTCCTCATCAATCAGATGAGAATTCTGTTCTAGAAGGACCTGGAGGGACCCAGGGTCTCCATCTGCAGAATGCAACACGAAAATGGGCCGGTTCATCGTAACATTCTTTGTTGTTATGGAGCCTAAGGAGGGGAGATTTCACTTTACAAACTGACCCACTGCCAGCCACTTTACTAGGTAATACTGAGGCTTCAACCAGCTGCATCTATTGCAGAAAAGTACGGGCGTTTATGAAAGCCAGGAAAAGGAAGGCTTCAAAACCTCACCAGACTCCAGCTCCTCACCCCAAGAAGCTAGTTGGGGTTAGAGCCTCACTTTTATAGCTGCATAGCATAGAACTGGTGTTGAAATTCTGTCTGAATATTATTTTTAATGAGGCTATTGTATGAGCAGGCTTTCACAACCAAGCAGGCTCCACCCCACCCCAAGGCTTTTATAAGCAAACTACTTGGAGATCAGGGACTTTTTACTGTGAAAAATCCATCAACTGTAGTGTGGAAAACTCTGAGCAAGACATCAAAGCCCCCTGGACCACTAAGTCAGATAGCTCTGGCCCTTACTGGCCTTTTCTAAACACAGAAGGCCACTACTGTGGGGGTTGGGTTGAGTGGCCAGAAGAAAGATATTATCAAGGAAATAGAATACAGCCTTCAACTTATACTCAATACTCCCCAGCCTTGCTGTGAACTGAATGTTGTGTTCTCAAAATTCAAATGTTGGAGTCCTGGCACCTCACTGGATAGCCCTAGAAGGTAGGCACTTGAGGAGTCACGGGGCGATTATGTCGTGGAACCCATGAAGGAGATTTGACTGCCATTATTTGGATCTGGAAGGGAAAAGGTCCTTGAGCCTTCAACAGGACCTAAGCCCAGAATTCAGCCAGGTTCTAGAAAGAAAAATATCTGATTCAGTGGGTCTGTCCCTCAAAGGTCACATCTTCCAAATCGTCTGGGCAGTGTGTCTGTCTTTGGAGGATACTCTTCAGCAACCAGTGTGAGTCTCAGCCAAGTTGAACTTCAGGCATAACAAAATCAAAGGGCAGTCAGCGTCCAGCAATAGCGTCATGGTGAGCAGGGTCCTGCCCCAGAGTCTACTGAGAATCATCAGTGCTCTACTCTAGGTCATCAAATAACGCTCTCCCTGTCCAGCTCCAGTTTCCCGGGCACAGGGGTGGGGCACAGCAGATGCAGCCCGCAGACGGCTGCGTGTACAATAGAATAAGCTGTCGCCCTCGGATCTGCATACGGGGATGTGTTAGGCCACCCCTCTCCTGTGTGGTCATCCCTTACCTTCCAGGAGAGGGATGAGCCGATGACATAATTGCTTAGCTGTGGTTAGTCTCAAGCCTCCAGTTTCAGGTCTTCTGACTTTGAAGGCAATGGCTATACTTGCCTGTATTTGCCACCAGACCGAGAACTGCACTCAGTGCAGGATAATTACGTGAAGGATTGGATGAATGACATAGCAAAATACGATCAATACCACCAGGGCCTGCCACTAGCACTCCTCTCCTCTAGGGACACAAAAGCCCAAATGTCACATCTCCCTGCCATCAATCCGAAGCAGAAATGATATGTGGTACTTCTGGTCTAAACCACAGGCCTGAGATCTCCATGCAGACTCTTGCCTAGGCACAAGACATCTGTAGGTGGCAAA